CACGAACAACCTTTAGTAATGGTAACTAAATTGTTGAAATGAAAAAGAATACGATAATTGCATTCTAGAAACGATTTGATAGTCACTATAGGAATATCATCCACTAATGTAAAAGCGGTGTCTAATTTCCATTTTTGCTAAAAACCGGGCAAAAAATCGTAGAATTAAGCAATATTTGTGTCCGTCGGATGCAATTTCAAAATGTGTTTGACATTTTGAATTAGAAAATGATACTATTGTGCAGTGAGCAAGTTTTGCTTATGATATATGATCTTCCCATCAAAATGAAGAACTGGAGAGGAAAAAATACATGAAATTAATTGCAACAATGTTTCATCATTTATTTCATGTCGTTTTTGTTTTGACAGGCTGCAGTGAACTTCATCTTTTGAAGTATTCCTTACTAAATCTTTAATCGCTAAACGTGTATTTTACATGCTCGATTAAGTCGTTCCTTGTATAAAATTTCAATATTTATTATTTCCAACCCTGGAAATAAATGGCTGTATATTACGTTAAGGCAAAGAAATCGGATTAAAAATACAATTAAAACAATAAAAATAAATAAATAAAATAGAATAGAAAAAATCAAGTAAGAAATAAAAGAAAGAAATAAATAGAAAAATACTATTAGTCATTTAACTTGTCTATTGTTTTCATCCGCAACTAAAGCTGTAAAGACGCCATATGGCATAAACAAAACAGACATCAAAAGACATAAAAAATCATCATCTGGAAACATTAATCTGTATCTGCCGATTGTTTGCTGCCAGCTGCCACACAACACATAATATTGACTTTTGCATTCAGTTGCAACACAACACCTTACATCGACTGTTTGCCTTTAACAGTCACAAAACACCTAATATCGGCTGTTTGCCTTAAACAGTCACACACTACCTAACATCGGCTGTTTGCCTTTAGCTGTCACAAAATACCTAACATTGGTTGTCCTTAGCTGCCACATAACACCTAACATTTACTTTTTATCATCAGCTCCATACAACACAGTGACTGCTTTCCTTCAGCTGCCACAAAACTGCTAACATCGACGGTTTGTCTTCTGCTGTCACAAAACACTTTCCATCGGTTACATAACACCTAACATTGATTATTTGTCATCAGATACCACACAACATTTAACAATAGCTGTTTGCCTTCAGCTGCCACACAAAACTTGACATCGGTTGTATTTAGCTGCCGCACAATCCCTTACATTGACTGTTTTCCTTCAGTTGTAACACAATACCTTACATAGGCTGTTTGCCTTCAGCTGCCACACAACAACTAGGATTGGCTGTTTGCTTTCAGCTGCCATACAGTACATTATATTATATTGACTCTTTGCCTTCAGCTGGTACATAACACATAACATCGACTGTTTGCCTTCAGCTGCAACACAACACATAACATGGGCTGTTTGCTTTCAGCTGCAACACAACAACTAGGATTGGCTGTTTGCTTTCAGCTGCCATACAGCACATTATATTGACTGTTTGCCTTCACCTGGTAGATACATAACACATAACATCGGCTGGCCGTTTGCCTCCAGCTGCAAAACCACAACAATATAACATCGGCTGGTTTCCTTCAGATGCAACCAAAAACACCTAAAGTGGACTGTTTTGCCTTCAGCTGGGCCGAAACAACAATTAAATTTGACAGTTTGCCTTTTAGCCTTGACACAATCAAACCTAAACATCGGTAATTTTGCCTTCAACTGCCAACACAAAACCAAAGCCTGGCGCTTGACACTACCAACACCTAACATCGGTTATTTGCCTTAAATTGCCACACAACACCAACCTTGCATCTGCCACACAACACCTTACGTCGGTTATAAGCCTTCAACTGTCACACAACACCTAACCTTCAGCTGCAATTCAACACCTTACATCGGTTTTGTGCCTTCAACTGCCACAGAACATCAAAACTGCAGCTGCCACACAACATCTAACATCGGTTATAAGCCTTCAAATGTCACACAACACCAAACCTGCAGCTGCCACACAACACCATAAATCGGTTATTTGCATTCAACTGCAACACAACACCAAACCTGCCGCTGCCGCACAAAACCTAACTTCGTTTTTTTGCCTTCAACTGCCACAGAACACCAATCCTGCAGCTGCCACACAACACCTAACTTCGGGGTTTTGCCTTCAAAATACCACACAACAAATACGGAACCTTTCACTACCATACAAAGCCTAACCCAGTTCGGTTATTTGCCCTTCAAACTGCCAAAACAACACCCTACATCGGTTATAAGCCTTCAACTGCCACACAACACCAAACCTGCCGCTGCGGCACAAAACCTAACTTCGTTTTTTTTGCCTTCAACTGCCACAGAACACCAAACCTGCAGCTGCCACACAACATATTACATCGGTTATTTGCCTTCAACTGCCACACAACACCAAACCTTCAGCTACCATACAATACCTAACATCGGTTATTTGCTTTCAACTGCCACACAACACCAAACCTTCAGCTGCCATACAACACCTAGCATCGGTTATTTGCCTTCAACTGCCACACAACACCAAACCTTCAGCTGCCATACAACACAAACCTTCAACTGCCATACAACACAAACCTTCAACTGCCACACAACACAAACCTTCAGCTGCCATACAACAGCTAGCATCGATTATTTGCCTTCAACTGCCACACAACACAAACCTTCAACTGCCATACAACACCAAATTTGCATCTGCCACACAACACCTAACGTCGGTTTTTTGCCTTCAACTGCCACACAACACCAAACCTTCAGCTGCCATACAACACCTAGCATCGGTTATTTGCCTTCAACTTTGCAATTTTTCATTTTGCTGCTGTTTTGTTTAATTTCTATATTTTATTGTGAAAATTAATCAATAGTTCTAGTAACCAACGGAAAATATGAACATCGATCATAATATGAGCCGCGTCACGACAAAACCAACATAATTGGTTTGCGACCAGCATGGATCCAGACCAGCCTGCGCATCCGCGCAGTCTGATCAGGATCCATGCTGTTCGCTATCAGTTTCTCTACTTGTAATAGAGTTGGTAAGCGAACAGCATGGATCCTGATCAGACTGCACGGATGCGCAGGCTGGTCTGGATCCATGCTGGTCGCAAACCCATTATGTTGGTTTTGTCATGACGCGGCTCATATATCGGTAACGTTTAATTCTTAATAGAAATGTGCTATCTTTTTATAATTTAGGTCGTTTTTACGTTGTATAATATTATTTATATTATAAATCATTGGTCAATAATCAATATAATAGCCGCTCTTTTGTAAAATATTGCTAATTCAACTGATATTGGCAATAGTATAAAATCACTATCAAAATTTAAAAAAATGTCCATGCACACGACGGACGATACGACTTAATGGGGTGTCCCTTAATTATTTCCAATTTTAACTTGAATTGCGCATGTTGCCTTTTAAAGCAGAATTAAGCGCATTTTTTCTTTTCATTTATTTGTAGTTTTGTGTTCTGTACATGTATAAACACTTTATTCTCATGGCGGTCAGCAAAATTAAGTTAATTCCCACGAAAACTCTTCCCATATATATATATTCTTTTTCAAATTCGTATGCAAACCATATTTTGTAAATCAGTATTTGAAAGTTAATGTTTGGTCTCATTTTAAGAACTTAGATGCATGAATTGTAAATTTGAATGTGATTACTCTATTACGGCTCGATGGGTTTGAATACAAAAATTTGATACCTTGCATTTTGAGCAATATCATAACATAGAACCTGAACAGCATGTTTTGAAAAGGAAAGCCTGTAGAGTTGTATGCATATTTAAGCTTTATAAAGATGACAACTGAATGAAGAGATATGAAAGAGTTCATATTTAACGTTTCTGTTAAAGCAGCCTGCCACCATGTAATTACTGACGCAAATTTAGTCATCATTATATAGCCTATGTACTATCTTCGTTATCCAAAGAAAACGAAGACTTGCAAAGCCTGATCCCGTAGGGTGAGGTGATAAAAACGTCCGAGGGTTTCTGAAGGCCCCGTGTTATCAAAGATTTAAGGATCAGGATATAGATCAGGATGAAATTTAAAATCTCTAATATTCTCATTGTTTATTCCCATAGATTAAATATCGAATATTAATTTGATAAAACTAGACAATAGCTTGTCTGTGAAATGTTAGAATAAATTTATTAACCGTTATTTTGCAAGATACGGGCATTTTACAATTGATCCAAATATTGATCCTGATTCTAAAATTGATCCATACTTTGATCCGATTTTTTTGTATTTGTTTTGTTATTTGTTGATTTTATCCCAAAATAGTTTGGTTTGTTTGCAAATCAGCAATTTTTAACATTTTGTATATTAACCATTTAATTCTTAGACTAGCAAAACACGATTAATTTTAGTAGCAAAAAACAATGAAAATGAAATAAGGATCACTTGATCCTGATCCTGATCTTTTTTTAGTGAACATGGGGCCAGATGTCAATACACGAAGAAAGGTGCTTTACCATTTTTCTTACATTAAAGTATACGTATTATTCGGTATTTTCGCGGGTCATTTTCCGTTTATCATACAAAGAAACCATTTTGTCAATATATTTTGATAATGTAACTACCGGGGCCATTATTGTAGTAAGCTGATTTTACATGGCGCCCTGAGTCACGCGTTAAAAAAAACGCGAAAGCAACAACGCTTGCTCGCGTTATTTTATTCGTTAATGCATGTTTTCTTCAGCGATTATACATGTATATACCTGCATGTGAAGTTTTTATGCAAGAATCTAGTTATCAAATTACTGAAAAGTGCACAAATACATTGGGACGCTAGCTTGAAAATTAATTATTCATAGACATAATCTGTAACGATTCAAAATGTTCAAAAACTATTCTTCCTCCATTGTAAACAGGGTGAATAACATTGTGAAATGATCATATTAAAACTGATTTAGTATAAAGCAAGCAGCGTTACTTTAATAAATGTGAATATTCATAAATTTCTTTAATTCTTCATATGTATACATTTAATAAAGTTTTATTTACACATGCGCAGGCATGTAGCTTAAAAACTGGTTTTACGGTCAATTGGACATCGCGATCACTGTTAAGCTTAAAAAAGTTTATTTTTTTAACTGTAATGATTTATAAACTTTTTGAAAGCGAATATTGATAACTTGTGTCTATTATTTATGATAACAATTATTAAAAATGAGTAAGCTAAGATTATTTCCAATATTTGGCTTAGTTACTTGTGTTTTTGTGGTTATTTTGTTCACTCACTTTAAAGTTGGAATACAAGGATATGTTTCAAAGTTTCAGGTACGTGTGTGCATTTTATATTTTGATATGTTGATTTTTTAAAGCTTTTGTTTTTTTCCTTTAAGCAAATATTAAAATATTAAAGGGACTTTACTGAGAGTATTTCGACATGACAGGACTGGAACTATTTTTCTTGAGATAAGTCTTCCATTTTCTGTTGATGCAAAAAAAAAAAACAAAAAAAAAACCTCGGAGGTTTTTTTTTATAGATATAAACAGAGAATGTAAAACAAGTGGAAAATCAGGTAATACAATCACGAGCTATAACCAAAACAATAAAAAATAATACAAACACGAGATATAGACATGATTTATGTAAACACGAGAGTAACTAACACGAGATATAAAATTGTTAATATACACATATTAACAGGATGCTACAAATACCAGTGATATAAACTCGAGATAAAAACACGATATTATAAACACGAGATATAAACGCGATTTGTGTGTATAATCGAGAGATATAATCACAAAAAATAAACACGTAATATATAAACATAAAAACATAAAACGAGACATAAAAAGGATGTACATGTATTAACAGAAAATGTTTATAAACATAATATATATACATATATTGAAAACATTTTAGTTGTCAACTATGGTTGTATTATTTTGAATTTGTTATAGGCATTGTTATTTATGTGGTTTTTCTTCCTTATGGTATTTTAGATTTTTTTAACAGTACGGTACAATGCAGCACAGTACAGTACAGTACAGTACATCGCAGTACAGTAGAGTACAGTACAGTACAAGGCAGCGCACTGCAGTGCAGTACAGTACAGCGCAGTGCAGTAGAGTACAGTACAGTACAGGGCAGCAAATTGCAGTACAGTGCAGTACAGCGCAGGGCAGGGCAGTACAGTACAGTACAGTACAGCGCAGGGCAGTACAGTACAGTAGAGTACAGTACAGTACAATGCAGCACAGTGTAGTACAGTACAGTGCAATACAGTACAGCCCAGTACAGTACAGCGCAGTACAGTACAGTACAATACAGTACAGTGTGGTACAGTGCAGTACAGTACCGTTTAGTGCAGTGCAGTACATCACAGCGCAGTACAGTACAGTACAGTACAAGGCATTACATCACAGCGCAGTGCAGTACGGTACAGCATAGCACAGTGCAGTGCAGTGTAGTGCAGTGATTTATAGTGTTGTACAGTACAGTGCAGTTTTAATATACAATAAATAATGCATACAAAACTCGTATCATACAGATCAATACGCAATAAACAATGTATAAGTAGATTTATTGGATGTAGATACATATGTATAGGAACTAAGGAGCTACTGTATACTCACCCGTATACCCCGGGTTTATGGACCACAATTATTTAGAATTATTAGATATGTTACAACTAATACAAACCAGTGTGTAATGTTGCAAATTCGGCATTTTAACCCAAAACACGAGGAAATAAACATAAAGGATAGATATCAACCTCGATTCCCTAAAGGTTGCTTCAAATAGCCTTATGTTCATGTTAACGTAATAATGTCCACGAAATAATGTCAAAGGGAAGTTCATTTGTTTCAAATAGTCAAACAAGTATTTCATAGAAAATCTTTTGTAATCAACAACGAAACTCTTACAAAAATATTGTGAACATAAATATAAAGTTTAGCTGTTAAAAACCGTAGAAAAAGCCAATTAAATTCCTATTCAATCAAAAAAGTTAAAGGATTGCAATACTTGAGCGACTTACAGTATATAAATAACACATAGGTTTGTGGGTAACAGTAAAAATATCATCCCGAGGAAAATACTGTTACCCGAGGCGTAGCCGAGGGTAACAGTATTTTTACGAGGGATGATATTTTTACTGTTACTCACAAACCCATGTGTTATTTATTTTATTACCCCGAACAAAAATATTGTGTTAATCTGAAATTGTCAACTAAATCTAACTGTAACAAAAATAAACCAAGAGTAACAATAACTAAACTGTCCTTACCTTTTGAGTTTTAAGTGTACTTGAGGCCTACTTGAGAAGTTTTCTTTTTCTTTTATTCTTTAAGCAAGTGATGATATCTACAAATCATAAACATACAATAAGCTAGGTTTTATTTAGAAAACAAAACACTAACCCATTTACACGGTTATGATCTGTGAAATCTGATCCTTCTGTTTCCAGAATATTCTTAGCATGGTTTTTGACAAAATAACGATGATATCCTATGTCTGCCCACCATATCTGTAACGTTTCACTGATTGAAATTGTTAAATAATCCTTTGTTGCATGCTTAAATCGTCTGCATGTTCCAGTTTGACACATAATTATTTACATTGCAATTACTTCCGTTGTAAACGGATGTTCACTTTTTGACTATTCAACAAAAGATATTTTATACGCGAAAAGCACACCAGGGTGCGAACAACTAAATTTTATGAGTGTCATAGTTACTCCAGAGAAGAAGTTGGCGCACCAGCTGACCAAGCTCTAGAATGATGTCAAATATGGCGCACAAGCTGGCCTAGCTCTAGAATGGTGTCAAAAATGACGTGCAACTGGCCTAGCTCTAGAATGGAGTCAAATATAGCACACAAGCTGACCTATCTCTAGAATGGTGTCAAATATGGCGCGCAAGCTGGCCTAGCTCTATAATCGTGTAAAAAATGAAGTGCAACTGGCCTAGCTCTAGAATGGTGTCAAATATAGCACACAAACTGGACGAGCTCTAGAATAGTGTCAAATACAGCACACAAGCTGACCTATCTCTAGAATGGTGTCAAATATCGCGCTCTAGAATGGTGTCAAATATAGCACACAAGCTGGACGAGCTCTAGAATGGTGTCAAATATGGCGGGCCAGTTGGCCTAGCGCTTGAATGGTGTCAAATATGGCACACAAGCTGTTAGCTCTAGAATCGTGTCAAATATGGCGGGCAACATGGCCTGGTTCTACAATGGTGTCAAATATAAATCACCGTTCCAGCATGATAAAAAGTAATTGTTGTTTTATATACAGTCGATTCCACTTATAACGAACTCGCTTATAACAAATTATCGTTAATAGCGAACTAAATCTGACATCCCCGGCCGATTCCTTCTTTATTTTATATTAAATCACATCGCTTAATACGTACTCGCTTATAACAAATTCTCGGCTATAACGAACCATTTTTCAAGCCATTTTTTTGCATATGCGTTTTGAAGTCCAATTTAAACCAAAAGTGATTTTAAAAAGTTTTTCATAAGATAATAATACTCGTTTACATTTGTAATCATAATGCTACAAAACAAGAATGATCTTTAAATACTTTTTTTTTCTATTTATAGCAGGAGAAGGTCGACAAAGCAGCACCTAAAACTATTTATAGAGATTATTTGAGGTTAGTTTTTTATATAATATTCTTATTTGTTTTGTATTTGATTTATTCTGTACTTTTGTCAAGTTTTTAAATCTTGACTTATTCTATAGAAAAAAAATACTCACTTTATCTCAGTACTTTTGTCTTTTATGAGATTTGGTTCGCAATATCAAATATTCACAATGGCGTATCATTTTGCGGGTCATTAATCATTCTAGAATTATAAACTAAGTAATTGACAAAAAAAGATGACATAAAAAAAGAAATGATAATAGTTAAAAAATAAACAATCATGTGCTCTAATCACATTGTCATTGTTGAAGAGAGTAAGAAGAGTAAAAACGTATTAAACTACCAATATTAAAAAGATTTTATCTACCTACATAGAACTGATAGAATTGTAAGATGGTTTAATGATAATTATCCTAAGTATGGGGGCAGGGGACCTAAAAATGAAAAATTTTGTATTTCAGTGTGACCAGAAACACAATTCCAAATATTTCAAAATCTGTTTCACAGGCAGATAACCAGTTGCACAGCATTATTCAATGATATATGACATACATTGAAGAAAATAATAGTTTGCATGCATTGCTCCTTCAAAAAATGACTGACAGCAATTTATATTTACCCCCACCCAGCCAAAATCACACCAAAAATATACCAATATGGGCAATCTTCATGAAGGTGCAGCATACTCCAGAATCCGCCCGATTCCTTTAAAAATATCAGTAACACGCAGTGCAAGCTATGGCATTTTCAGAAATGACAAATAAAGTGTCTGTCATACGCTTAGATTTTTCACAAAATTTATCTGAAATTTCTTACTTGTTTGGCGCCAACTGTCAAAGCTTGATTTTTAACTTTTTCACCTCCATTCGGAGAGTCAGAAATACATACAAAGCTACCAAAATGCTTAGTTTCGGGTAAAAACCCAAAAATATATCTCATTTCCTACACACAAACAAGAAAGAATTACAATGACAAGGAATATCAGAAGTTATCAGTACCTTCAAAACACCATGTCTGAGTTATTAAAAAATTTGACCGGGGCCATTATTCGAATATGTCCCCTGCCCCCTTAATGACACATATGAGTGATGACCCACAAAATGGCGTCAATGACATGTGTAGTCTGGATTACCTGCCCCTGTTACTACGTTATCGCAGAATAGTAGGCATGGAAACAGACTAGGACATATGATGCATTTTATATAACAACCATCTTTATTTCAAACATTATAAACCGTATACCATTTTGTTTAAACTTTGAAAGACCGAAACCGGTAGATCCTAGAATAAACCAATTACAAACAATCCTGATGTTTGATGTGTATTCTCTCCTTCCCTTGATTTATTTGAAAATAAATGTGCAGATTTTTGAAAATACATGTGCAGATATGTTATATGAAAATATGTGTGAAGATAAGAAAAATATATGTGCAGATATGTGAAAAGAATTGATTCGAGATGCCGTAAAAAACAACGATTCGGAGGAGCCGATGATTCCGGCTATGACGTTTGTATTGATAGTGTTTACAGACCTCACAAGCCGTGTTTACTCTATTCATTTGGGTTAGTATCAATAGATAATTCTTTGAGAAGCTGTGTTTATTCTATTAATTTGGGTAAGAATCAATAATTATTTGAGATGTCGCGTTTACTCTATTCATTTAATTAGTAAGTATCAAAAAAAAAAGAATTCTTTGAGATGTCGCGTTTACTCTATTCATTTGAGTTAGTATCAATGAGGAAATCTTTGAGAAGTCGCGTTTACTCTATTCATTTGACTTTGTATCAATAAGGAAATCGTTGAGAAGTCGCGTTTACTCTATTCATTTGTGTTAGTAGTAATAAAGAATTCTTTGAGAAGCCGTGTTTACTCTATTCATTTGGGTTAGTATTAAAAAGGAATTCGTTGAAAAGCCGTGTTTACTCTATTCATTTGGGTAAGTATCAATAAGGAAATCTTTGAGAAGTCGCGTTTACTCTATTCATTTGAGTAAGTATCAACAAGGAAATCTTTGAGAAGTGGCGTTTACTCTATTCATTTGAGTAAGTACCAATAGATAATTCTTTGAGAAGTCGCGTTTACTATATTCATTTGAGTTAGTATCAATAGATAATTCTTTGAGAAGTCGCGTTTACTCTCTTCATCTGAGTTAGTATCAATAGATAATTCTTTGAGAAGTCGCGTTTACTCTATTCATTTGGGTAAGTATCAATAGATAATTCTATGAGAAGCCGTGTTTACTATATTCATTTGGGCAAGTATCAATAAATAATTCTTTGAGAAGCCGTGTTTACTATATTCATTTGGGCAAGTATCAATAAATAATTCTTTGAGAAGCCGTGTTTACTATATTCATTTGGGCAAGTATCAATAAATAATTCTTTGAGAAGCCGTGTTTACTATATTCATTTAAGTTAGTATCAAAAAAGAATTCTTTGAGAAGTCGCGTTTACTCTATTCATTTGAGTTAGTATCAATAGATAATTCTTTGAGAAGTCGCGTTTACTCTATACATTTGAATAAGTATCAATAGATAATTCTTTGAGAAGTCGCGTTTCCTCTATTAATTTGAGTTCGTATCAATAGATAATTCTTTGAGAAGTCGAGTTTACTCTATTCATTTGGGTTAGAATCAATAAGGAAATCTTTGAGAAGTCGCGTTTACTCTATTCATTTGGGTTAGAATTTATAAGGAATTCATTGAGAAGCTGTGTTTACTCTATTCATTTGGGTTAGTGTCAATAAGGAATTCTTTGAGAAACTGTGTTCATTCTTTTCTTTTGGGTTAGTATTTATTAAGAATTCTTTGTAAAGCCGTGTTTACTCTATTCGTTTGGGTTAGTATCAATAAGGAAATCTTTGAGAAGTCGCGTTTACTCTATTCATTTGGGTTAGTATCAATAAGGAAATCTTTGAGAAGTCGCGTTTTCTCTATTCATTTGAGTTAGTATCAATAAGGAAATCTTTGAGAAGTCGCGTTTACTCTATTCATTTGAGTTAGTATCAATAAATAATTGTTTGAGAAGCCGTGTTTATTCTATTCATTTGAGTAAGTATCAATAAGGAAATCTTTGAGAAGTCGCGTTTACTATATTCATTTGAGTTAGTATCAATAAGGAAATCTTTGAGAAGTCGCGTTTACTCTATTCATTTGAGTTAGTATCAATAAGGAAATCTTTGAGATGTCGCGTTTACTCTATTCATTTGAGTTAGTATCAATAAGGAAATTTTTGAGAAGTCGCATTTACTCTATTCATTTGAGCTAGTATCAATAAAGAAATCTTTGAGAAGTCGCGATTACTCTATTCACTTGGGTAAGTATTAATAAAGAATTCTTTGAGAAGTCGCGTTTACTCTATTCATTTAAGTAGTTAGTATCAAAAAAAAGAAATTCTTTGAGATATCGCGTTTACTCTATTCATTTGAGTTAGTATCAATAAGGAAATCTTTGAGAAGTCGCGTTAACTCTATTCATTTGAGTTAGTATCAATAAGTAAATCTTTGAGAAATTGCGTTTACTCTATTCATTTAGGTTAGTATTTATAAAGAATTCTTTGAGAAGCCGTGTTTATTCTATTCATTTGGGCTAGTATCAATAAGGAAATATTTGAGAAGTCGCGTTTACTCAATTCATTTGGGTAAGTATCAATAAATAATTCTTTGATAAGTCGTGTTTACTCTATTCATTTGAGTAAGATTCAATGAATAATTCTTTGAGAAGCCGTGTTTATTCTATTCATTTGAGTTAGTATAAAAAAATAATTCTTTGAGATGTCGCGTTTACTCTATTCATTCGGGTTAGTATTAATAAGGAGTTCTTTGAGAAGCCGTGTTTATTCTATTCATTTGGGTTAGTATCAATTAGGAGATATTTAAGAAGTCGCGTTAACTCTATTCATTTGGGTAAGTATCAATAAATAATTCTTAAATAAGTCTTGTTTACTCTATTCATTTGGGTAAGTATCAATAAATAATTCTTTTTCTTTGAGAAGTCGTGTTTATTCTATTCATTTGAGTTAGTATAAAAAAGAATTCTTTGAGAAGCTGCGTTTACTCTATTCATTTTGGTAAGTATCAATAAATAATTTTTTGAGAAGCTGTGTTTACTCTATTCGTTTGGGTCAGTATCAAACAGGAATTCTTTGAGAAACCGTGTTTATTCTTTTCTATTGGTTTAGTATTTATTAAGAATTATTTGTAAAGCCGTGTTTACTCTATTCGTTTGGATTAGTATCAATAAGGAAATCTTTGAGAAGTCGCGTTTACTCTATTCATTTTAGTTAGTATAAAAAACATTCTTTGAGAAGTCGCGTTTACTCTTTTCATTTTCGTTAGTATTAATGGGAAATTCTTTGAGAAGCCGTGTTTTGTCTATTCATTTGGGTTAGTATCAATTAAGAATTCATTTCGATAAAAACATTTTGCAAGTCTTGATATCATGAAGCCAAGAAAGAATGAAAGAAAAACTTTTAATTTACGATTCTAAGTAACGTTAAAAAAACTATCAGTTTTGAAAGTTGAAATACAAATATTTATTGTCATACAAATCTGCGAAACAATTTTTTGTCAATTCAATTTAGGTCCCTTATAAATAGAGATGTTCTGGCCACATTATATAAAATAAATGAAATGCGAACAAAATCCATTAACATACTTAGTTTGAAAAATGTCGAATGGAATAACTTAATTTGATTAAACTTTTTAAACACAATAAAGTTTAGTAAGAATATTTTCTCAATAGCGCGACTAAACTCTGTATCTAACTAGACAATCTATATTTTTAATATTAATTTTTATTATAATAGATCTTAAACACCTAACTTTCTCTATTTTTAATGGCTTTGTCCCGCGTTGCTTTAAATTAGAAACGTTCAAATCAAGTTTTATGGATTTTATTATCAAATTAAAACACTGAGATGATTTGTCAGACTGTATAGATGTGCACGTTGGATTGTCTCTTTGCTTGCAGCAAAGACTATTTACATCATGTACATGCATTTCCGGCAGGATAATGTTAAAGATGTTATGATCTAAAAAATGTTTATGATGTCATTCTTTGTGTCATTTAATAATTATTGTTATTTGTAAATTGATTATGTCTTTTTGACCATTCGAGTGATGTCCGATTATGTACTTTCTAGATCGAAGTTTGTTTTTGGATTCGAAAATGACATCATTAAAAATTTCGGATGTGAAACTCACACCTTTGACCCAAGGTAAGCATTAAATCAATAATTTATTACTGATTCAGATAAAGATATAATAAGCCAACATTTTTCTTATAAATTTTAACTTTAATTTAGTCAACAATATATATATTAATAAGCAGAAGTCATGTAGTTGGGCGATATTTCATATTCATTTTAACTCTAGGCTTGTTTTACACGAGTGAAAAAATGAGGTCAGTCGATTCTTAAAAATGATTACTATATCAAGGGAAAATGTTTTTATTTGTTCAAGCTTATAGTAAATTGAATTTTATATTTTATTTTAATTCGCGTTTTTTTTTCGGACGTTTTTTATTTGTCTTTTTAATAGTTGGAAAAAAACCCTTGAACTATTTATTGCAACCTTGTCCCAAAAAGGGTTTTTTTACTTTAAAAACAACCCGGCTGAAATCCTTTTGTGACAGCGGGTAAAATGTCCAAAAACTTTTGGGTTTTGTAATTTTTTTGGGTATTAATTGTTTTTTTTTCACTTTAAAGTTTTTAAAACAAAAAGTCCCAACCAAAGCAAGGCTGGGGGGTTCGTACGGGATGTTTGGAAAAAAACTTCTCAATTTTATATAAACGATTTAAACCCAACCCAAAATTGGCAATTTCAGGGAATGTTGTTGTTAAATGCCACAGAGGGTACCCAAAAACCCTCCCTATTTCAAAATACCTGTACATTTAAATTTTTGGGAGATTTAAACGGGCCGTTTTAAAACACATCTGCGGATGTTTCTAAATTCAAAAATGTTGAATTCTATTCAAGCTGGTGCTAGAGGGTCTGGGCGGTAAGATGCACTTTCCAGTACCGTCCATGAACAGGCTCAATCAAACCGAGCGAGCAACATGTTTAATTTTGTCAGGCTTTCTTTAGGGATTCTGTTTTTCTTTATCTTACCTTAATCGTTTCTGAAAAAAAAATCTCCAGAAAGTAGACTCTTATATCCACTGTGAGTGAACACAATGCATGTTGTCAGTCGAATTTATATGCATTTAAGTCAACCAATAGGTGATCATCATATCCCGGAGGGAATCAACTTTCATCTGATCGGATTATCTGATGCAGACTATAAGAATTACCTTGGCTGGCCAATGAGTTCTCTGTCATCATTGAGAAGAAAATTGAACCATACTTCTGTACGTTCTTGTTTTGTATATTAAAGCCGCGCCATGACAAAACCAACATAATGGGTTTGCGACCAGAATAGATCCAGACTAGCCTGCGCATCCGCGCAGTCTGATCAGGATCCATGCTGTTCGCTATCAGTTTCTCTACTTGTTATAGGGTTTGTAAACGAACAGCATGGATCCTGACCAGACTGCGCGGATGCGCAGGCTGGTCTTGATCCATGCTGGTCGCAAACGCAGTACGTTGGTTTTGTCATGGCGCGGCTCATTTGATTTAAAGCAGCACGCCCCAAGATTCATGTTAATTTTTTATGAAACTTTTTGAAATGAATTTAAAAGTAAAATATTGTGAGGTAAACAAATAAAATAATTAATATATTGCAATCGGCACTTACAATCCAAGAAAATTACTAAAAAGTAGTCAACATGTGCAAAACCAGCCCTTACTGTTTTTTTGCAACGCAGTAGAAATATGGTAATAAAATACTGCAAAACCTGTCTTAAACCGCACACAACAAGTACAATTTAATTTGGATCTTGAATGTTTTTACTTTTCTTATAATTTTAGTACATTTTTCTTAACATTGATTTTCTTGAAATATTTTGGCTCATCTGGAGGTGTGCAGTTTGAAATGTTGAAAGCGGCACGCCTACACCTTACAATATAAATCTTACTTCTCCCCCATCCGCCTCGAAAATAACGGTTTATTTTTCTATAAATCATGTTTATTTTTATGAAAAACATTATATATATATTCTAAAAGATTACAAATATTTAAACTCCAGGTAAAAATATATATGTACCGAGGAGAATATTACCAAAATTAATATTTTAATCGCCAAAATATTTACTCGGTTTTGTTAGAGAAAATATTTTGGTATATGTTTACATAATCTATGTAATTTTTATTAAAAAATAGTGCCAATGGCTAGCTTAGATAACTTAAAATGTACACTTTTAAACATCTAAATGGTTTTTAACGTCTTCGAAAATGAACCACAAACGATGAGGCGTGCTGCTTAAATATTTTTTCTATTATATAAATTATTGCATATCGATGCAAAATGACATGGTTTTTGTTACAATTTTAAATCTTTAGTTTGTTTGTTATTTTTCTCAAACACCATAAATCAAAATATCAATTAACTATAAGAGCCGCGTCATGACAAAACCAACATAATGGGTTTGCGACCAGCATGGATCCAGACCAACCTGAGCATCCGCGCAGTCTGATCAGGATCCATGCTGTTCGCTTACAAACTCTATTACAAATAGAGAAACTGATAGCGAACAACATGGATCCTGATCAGACTGCGCAGATGCGCAGGCTGGGCTGGATCCATGCTGGTCGCAAACGCATTACGTTGGTTTTGTCATGACGCGGCTCAATTATTTGTTTGAATAAATTAATGAAACAAATATTTACAAATGTCTAGTTATTGCCTAAATTTTATGTAATAGACTACATGTAATTAAATATTTCATATCAACATTTAAATTTAAACGGATATATATCATATCTAACTATTCTTAATAAACTTTGGTATAAACATCATTTTATTAGTGAGTTTGTTAGATTATAGCTGAATTTATGAAAATAATTTATGATGTTTTGTTATCAAAATGAAAACATTTTTAATTAAATCAATTTTTTATCATTATTATTGAGGAAGGGGACAAAATTTAAGTAATAACACAAACATTATTCATTACGTTTAAGTCGTTTTAAACATTAAAACATTATTCTGTTTTTTACGTGCTACAAACTCATAATTACATTTTATAAATTTCATATTTAAATGGGTTAATCTGGTTAACAAAATAAACCATATTTTAACTTCACTAGCTCACATGAAATATGATTTCATTTTTATTTTAGAAGTATATAGATTTACTAAAACTGGACATAGAAGGATATGAGTGGCAAGCCATTCCTCAGATACTTTCAACAGTGCCTGTCCAATATATAAAGAAAATACTTATTGAAAAAATTTTGGGTAGGAAAAGGGGGGATGGTGATGACGGCTATTAAACATTTAAAATAAAAATTTTTGGGGGAGTTTGGGGAAATTTTTACTCACATTTAAATTTTAAAACAGTTTATAAGGTTTTCAGATTTTCAGCTTTTTTTGAAAATCCGAGGTAAAAAGATAAGATCTTTTTGTCATGATTCCCCGGAAATGAAATGTCTGTTGTTCCATGATAAATTTTAATATTGATTTTAATGTTGTTGATTTATGGCATAAAGATTTGTGATACTTAAAATAAAGCTACAGGAAGTAAAATTAGTTTGTGATATATATTTCTGGGAACAGTCTTGGTCGGGTGATTATTTTGCTGACTTCAAGCTACTTGGTCCTCACAGCTACTTATTCCAATCGTTTGTAATTTGATTAAACTTTCCAGATTTAAAGATGACCCTATAGTCTGAAAAGTGGCATTTTTTCTCACAGAAAATTGAAGCGATACATAATGAAAAAATATTGACAATTTGCTCACAAAGCATTTGAGCCTTGCCATGACAAAACCAACATAATGCGTTTGCAACCAGCATGGATCCAGACCAGCTTGGCATCCACGCAGTCTGATCAGGATCCGTGCTGTTCGCTTAAAATCGTCTTACAAGTAAAAAAAAACTGATAGGGAACAACCTGGATCCTGATCAGACAGCGCGAATGCGCAGGTAGATCTGGATCCATTCTGGTCACAAAAGCATTATGCTGGTTTGTCATGACGCGGCTCATTTATTAATACCATTCGTGTGCTCGTATGCTTTTAATATTCATCATAAAAACCACTCTTGAAACAGTTCATGTGTTACTATTTATTTCACAAAGTCTATCAATTTATCTGACGTTTCAAGAATTAATACTTCTTTATTAAAGTCCTTGCTGTTTTTTTTTGTATTTACAAATCGCATATCATCTTTTCTGTTATACACTAAGTCAATCGAAACGTTTCAGACTGAGATTTCCATAATGCAACAATTAGTTTTATTATATAATCTTTAAAAAGCTTTGAAATGCCTTTCCCTGATTGGCTAACAAGCACTTTTTTGTAAAAATATAACAGGTCAATATCAGAGTAAATTCACTGTTTTTTCCCCTAAAAATAGATTTTCAGAGTATATTCACCGGTTTTTCTTCTAAAAATAGATTTTCTTGAAATCCCCGAAAGACGCGAGATAAGACGTGACGTCACGCAAAGTCGTTAGTGTCAAATTAGTCTATTTTAGTTACCGTCTTCACTTTTGTAAGAACATTACGAATTAGTGTGCCAATGCTCTCATTTAAACATATTATGATCAAGTACCGTATGTCATGCTCGCTATTAGCGTGAATAAGGTTACCTTTGGATTTTGCAGTTTTGATTTCGAAAATTCGGTGATCAATATTAAATTATAAAGATTGAGTTATCAAAAGTATAGAGAATGGTCAAGCTTCGCGAATTTGTAGACTGACCTGCCCATATACTGGTGGCAAAACACAATCACAGTTGTTTTCAGAAATTTAAGGAGTAAACTTTTTGTTTGTAGCAATAATGTTTGTTTTTTATCATTAAAATGATTTTTATATACTAGTTACGCTTACTCAGTATTACGCAGTAGAATTATTGAATAAAATAACAGTTTATATTAGTTTTTCCCTAAAAAATAACCCAATTTTGCCTAGTTACAATTTAAAAAAAAATTGAATAAATTATTCCCTTAATGTCAAAGTTACCGGCCTTGGCGATCCGAAATTTAATAAGACTTATATAGAAAATATAGTTTTAAAAACTACCTCTAGGAAACCACAATATCTAAAGTTTAAATATTTGGCATATAGGATCACCTTGTGGTCTTCTACAGAAGTCATAGTAATATTATCCCGTTGAAAATGTTCTCATATTCCCTTCGGGTGACCCTAGAGAAGATAAGCTCTTGGCATATGATTATTCCTGCGGTTGACAGTTGGTTGAGCCGACCGATTTACAACATCAAAAAAACACACAAAAAAAAACAAACAAAAAACAACCCAAACAAACAAAAAAACCCAAACAAACAAAAAAAAAAAATACAACAACAACAGCAACAACAAAAAACAAAGACAAAAAAGAACGACGAAAACCTAGCACATATGTCACATTGTTTGTCTGGTTATTGAGATGGAAACTGGGAAGTGTTTTTTTTCCTTATATCGCATCAATGCCATGCTTTTAAATAAAACTGTAATTGCCTCACTTACGAGTTTTATTACATGCATGGAACGTAATATAGTCATTTAGACGGGTAGTTAATTCAAAGTGGACATTTAGACGGGTAGTTAATTCAAAATGGTCGTTGTAAAAATTTATTACCCTTAAACGAAATAATCTCTTGCACGTTATATTAGGTTTGACTTGAAATAATATCATAATAATAACAATGATTGTTTATAACAGTAACATACATAGTTTTTTTCTGATTTGCTTAAACAATCACTTAAACATATTTGACCATATAGAATGAAAAGGAACATAGCATTGTGCAAACATAATCAAGTGTTATTTCACTGAACAAATAAAGTTACTTATCGAATTATAGAATACTGTATATATGATACAAAAGTAATTTAACTTTATAATTTAATATGACTTGCATCATAGCTAGAGCGAATTACATATATAGTTTGAATGCTTCAAAACAATTTTTTTCTCCAATGAAAAAGATATTGACAACAAGTTTATATTTTTCACATTTTCACATGAATCCATTAAAAAAAAAACCAAAACCCCACAAAACCAACAACAACAAAAGACAACAACACACAGACGCACACACATACGCACACACACGCACACACACATAATAAAAATAGAAGGAATCAAACACTGAACATTTGTATCTGTTATGAAATGTCTTCTATGCCGTAATAAAATGTGTAAATCGCACCGTATGATAATTTGTGATATGTGTCAGGCTTTCAAGATAGTTCAAGTGTTTTCATATTTTCCATTACTTAACCCACTGAAGTATAGATTTGATTAAATTAAAGGAATGTGTGATATTATTGTAATTTATTATTAATTGATTTATATCTAATAAATTATTGTAAGTGTAAACTGTATAAAGATATATTAAGGAGAAACAACGATAACTCATTTAACACGTTTTTTAAACTTAAACATTAAAAGTTATGTTATGAAATATGAAAGAAGCTCATGCAGAAACCCCTAATTAACATATATTATGTATTATATTCAGGTTAATTCTAATAATATTACCTAGCATATTCTTGTCTGTAACGTACACATCGCTACTTTTTTGATGTTCACTATTTTAGATACAGAAAACTCAACTTATGTACAAAATCAATACACCTGAAAAACTAACACTAACTTTTGTTTTATATGGTCACTGTAACTATACACAAATCAAGAAAAGATATCTTTGCTTTGAATATTTACACTTTTGTATACAACACGCACATCATTTCTCTTTACAACCTCTTATCCAAGACATTTAGGCAGTATCTTAAGCAGTATGTTACTCACACAAAGCATCTTCTTTTCCTTCTCTTTTTTAGTGTGGCAAGATACCGTTTATCAGGATATTTTCGCACACTGCATTTTTGTTGTTGATCCTTTTTTATTTTCTGCAGATAATTTGATATAACGCTATTTGTCTTGGATTTCTTTACCATTTTTCTTTTGGCGTTTCATAAACAGGTAAGTACTTGGTATTTCACACATTAAGCACATCTTACTTGATTGTACACGTGTTATTGTAAAGTTGCCTGTGTTTGATTACGGCTATGAAGCGCGTGAATTATCTTATTTTACTATACAATCATTAAAAGAAGACAACAAGACATTTGTGCTCACTGCGTCTTTATTTTGGTTTGGTCTCACGTCGAACTCACGAATTATGGGGGACTTAACAGATTTACTGGTTAAGGAACAGCAATGTTGCAGATTTGTGATGATTGTTTTTAACATTTAATGCTACATACCCAGGATATCCAATACTGGTAGATGATTCAATGAAACCTTAGTAACGCCGTCTAACATAACTCTTACAGAACCTCTCGACTTAACTGTGTTTAACTTGATATTATCGGATCTATTAATAGCAGAAACATTGAAAAAAAAAATCAGTTTTTGAAAACTACTACAAATACAGAGCCCTATAAAGTTCTTTAATACAGACATAAAATCAGTCAATGAAGATTAAAAAGACATATGCGAAGAAATATTAAACGAATATGTCCTGTAAGTCGTTTTATCAAAAAACAAAACAAAAACAAACAAACAAACAACAATACCACATAGTCCAGGATCTGATTGTTTAACAATCAAATACATTTTTGACTATCTTGCCTCGATGAATAACTCTTTTCTAAATGTCAACCTTAAAAACCCTTCAATGGCAAGGAATTATTTTTGTCATTCCGAGGCGGCGAGATAAAGATCTTACAAACAAATCGAACTGGAGACCTACAAGTTTGCTCAATTAGATTATAAACTGGCAACAAAAAACATTTCTAATCGCATAAAAAAGATTTTCCTTCAAGGCCTTTTCAATATCGACACATTGATGACAACGAAAAATCAATACATTGGTGAAGATGTTAGGATTTATTTTCAAATAATTGAATATCTGCAATAAGAAAAATATCAGGATTATTATTCTATGCTGATTATAAAAAAGAATTTGATAGTTTAAGCCATTTCAATACGCTTGAAAAGTTCAATTTTGGTAAAGATTCTATAAAATTTGTCTAACTGTTTTACTGATATTTCAAGCATTATCGTTAAAACGGTCATTTCTCAAAACACTTTAACAATTAAAGGAGTGTTTAACAAGGATGTCCTTTATTATTATCATTATTTATCGTATTTAAAGACATGTTATCCATTTACATTTACATACATAGTATGGCAAGATTTTTATGAACTAAGATATAATGCATTAAAGGGACGTGGTCACTTATCTTTAGATTACAATTTAAGCTAAGCCATCAATGAACATTGACAAATGTTAAATTTTAAAGTTTAAAGTTAAGTACTCGA